TCTATCTGTCTATCTAACTATCTATCTATCTATCTGTCTATCTATCTATCTGTCTATCTGTCTATCTATCTATCTATCTGTCTATCTATCGATCTATCTATCTATCTGTCTGTCTGTCTATCTATCTATCTATCTATCTATCTATCTATCTGTCTATCTATCTATCTATCTATCTACCTATCTATCTATCTATCTATCTATCTATCTGTCTATCTATCTATCTGTCTATCTATCTATCTATCTTTCTATCTAGCTATCTATCTATCTATCTATCTATCTATCTATCTATCTCGCTGTGTAAGGTGGAAAGAGGTGGGTGGTAAAAGAATATGAGTTGTTTTAACCATCTAACTAGTATGACTATGTGTTAAAAGACTGCTAGCTGATTGTTCATTTGATGTTAGAGTGTAAATATCTGGAAAGAGAACAGGAAGGTCTTGAATCATTGCGGATTCCGTAACATCCGTAACATCCCAAAACTTAAAAACGGGATGAACAGTTCAACACGGACCAAAGCAGCTGTTCTGTTACTATTGAATGAACTCTTTCGTGATTTTTCAGGTTACTGAAGTAGAGACTATACTTTCGAGCACTTAGTTTAATTACAGTGTTCCAAGTTCCAAAGGATCCACGATGTGAACATTTAGCACGTCCTTGACGCTTTTCTGACTGAGCCAGTTTAGCTGTTATCGCAAGTTTCGCCTTCAGGACAACTTTGAACTCAAGACATAGAATTCCTGTTCCGGCCCAATTTATTAATTTATTTCCAACCCAAACAATCACGAACAAGATTACCAGAAAAGCAAATACATCTTATCTGAATTTCAATCATGAAAAGCAAAAGTGGTGAAGATGTTTCGAAAACAGTAATAGAGTCTGAGTTAATATAAAATTACTTGTAGCGAAAAATCATGCACTTTTGTCATAACCGAACAATCCGCCTGAGGTAGGAAAATTCTCTTGCAATAACAAGACAAATCACACAAAAAGACATAAGCCTAAATTTATTAGTCACAAAACCAACAGCTGTATGGTCCCCTCAAGAATCCTTAATGACCAGGCAGTACATGTATATAAAGCTATATAAGACTTCTTTCGTAAATGAATATTACGAAGGATGACAGTCGCCTTTGCTATTATTGCCCAGCAAAACATAATCATCTTTTTAACGAATCCAAACCGGTCATACTCCATGTCTTCTTACGAACATCTAAGTAACTTTAGGTAAACTTGAAGACTCTTTTACCTTTGTTTCTACTTAGTTTCCATAGATATCGTTAACGAATAAATAAGCACATTTTTACTGTCAGTTTTAGAAAAAGATTTTTCCCTCACGTGCCAGCTGGGTGACTACATCTCATGCGGATTGGGTTTTCACAGTAATAACAGTAACTTGAACGTATGAAGACCTGTTTCGTTTTGTAACCAATGCCTTTAGAACAGGCTCTTGTTTTTTAAGAAGCAATCGAGCTTCATGTGGTCACACTACAGACTTTTTACCTAGGTAAACCGCTCGACTTGTTGACAGTTAACCTAGGGAAACTTGATTTTTTAAGTGCGACCGATTTTTCCCTAGGTAACTTATATTACCTCAGGGAAATTTTATCGTTTGGGACTTGGATATGTCTCGAGAACAATAGAGTTTTCCTTGACAGCTACCCCAATAAAAAAAGCTACTCTGGGTGCAAGAGGCTTTTCATGCGCGGTGGGTACCCCAAAGCAATAGTCAGGAAAAAATTAAATACCGAGGTTGCTAGCCAATAGACGCTTATCGGTGAAGGTCTTGATGACAGAACCGGACAAAGCCCACGCTGTGAAAGAAATTTTGGGAGCACGAGTCATCTACTTCTTTACCTTTCTTCACCTTGCAGGTTGAATTAGCGTAAGAAATAACAAGAAAGAAAAACAAGAAAAATAAAACGTCTCTTTGATCAGCTAGATCTCCGCGTATCTTGCCTTCTTGAATTTACGATCTAAAAAACTCAACTGTGCGTGAAAACCTTGGGAGCCGATATCAGTAGTGTGACCTTCCCAGAATTTTTTACCCAGGTAAAACAAAACCCGAGATGAATTTACCTCGGGAGATTTTTGATGAATTTGCCCTAGGTAAATCAGTTTTTCCTAGGTAACTGTCTGTAGTGTGACCACAGCTAATAGCTTTTAAAACATGAAGAATTGTGTCGTCAGATCGAGTCAGAGGTAAAGACTGTATTAGACTGCAAAACAGTCGGTTTTTTTCTCAAAATCAGTAAAGAAATCGGTAAAGCGTGGCGTAAGAGTCTTACGTGCGCGAAACGCGCGAGTCACTCCCCAATCTCGCTCTCTGTTTTCAGCCTCGTTCCAGACTTTCCAAACCCTTTGTTTGACTGCTCGCGCGTACTTGAATACGCAAAACTACGGACTGTTTTGCAGTCTAAGACTGTATATTTCATTGAGTATAATTACACGTGCAAACCTCGTGAATTACGATGATGCAACCTGATCTACCACAATGATATTCGTTATTTGATGAGCCACATTTTCTTAAGAAACTCTAAAAAAACCTTCGAGTTTTCCTTCTAATTAACGTTTGGTGAGTTGATATTTATTGTACTTTAACAATTTACTACCTTGCACCAGATGTATCAGGGAAAAGACAAAGGAAAATGAATATATAGCATGAGGACCGACTCAGCTGAGTGTTTTTATTCATGTACAGCAATAGCCAATTTCTTAAAAAAAAAAACAGACTATACTTAGGATGTGTTAAAGTACGCAAAAACAGCCACTATCTTGAATTATTTTGAGTGTTATTTCATTTACGCAAAAGTGTGCAAGGTTAATTATATCTGTTTGTTTTGGTTGAGAGATTTCGAAAACGCACGTGCCGGCCGTAAAGTGACTTTTAATAGTAAGATTTAACTTTTGTTAAAATCTGTCTTTTGTTCGTACTAATTGGACGTGCTGGTAAAACAAAGGATACGTTCCGTTGGCCTTAATTGACTTTTACTTGACCAAACAAAACCTTTCCAGAAAAACAAAGTGTCGCCTGGAACACACTGTTTTTATTACTCTCCTACGCTTTCAAGATCTTATTTGAGTTGGCTTGCGTTTTAGTGACAAAAACCTCGTCCATCGAGATCTCTGGATCAAATCATTTAGTTATACTTCGTTAAGTGTAGTTGGTTAGCAATTGTTTGAGACTGGTTGTCAAGTGAACACTTTTGTCGGATAATCCTTGTAATTATATTTGTACGCTAATTAGTTTTATTGCAAAACTCGTAAACAACTTTGTGTCAATATATAATGAAAAGGCGGGACAAATTAGTATTGTTAATTATTCCTACAAGAAGACTTTAAACGACAACTTATGTAATGTACAAAAGTTGATTAGTTGTACTTTTTGAAGTAACGATAGTGTGAATCAGCGATTTATATACATAAATACATTCTTTGTGAACTTTATATCTCTCTGACTATTTTGTTTTGACTTGACATTAACTGGACTTAAGTAAATTCTATAGTCAAGCTGATTTTCGGATTGCGCCATATAAACCTCGAAGGAAAATATGATAATATTCCTTACAGCCAATCGGGTTTTTACTGATGTAAGACCAAATGTCAAGTGATTAGGATTGGCACCTGTCATGTCCAGTCAGGATAAAAGGAGCTATAACAGGCTTTTGTGAGTGAGATAGTACAAGCTAGTGTGAGATTAAGTTGACTTGTAACAACGCTGAAGCTTTAGAAGAAATACAAAGTTTGCTGAACCGACAGAGTACGTGTGTCTTTTCTGTGAAGTCGACCCAGAGCTAGTCCCCTTCAACTGGGTTCGGACTTTTCACAGATGGAAAAGGTAGAGTTATCATTTTTGGTACGGTTACACTGAAGCATTCAAAATAGTCATGCACGTTAAACGTGCCTATGTTTATTATTGTTGTTGCAATTTGTCCTCCAACCATCCATTATGTTTTGTCCCCTCAGCTATAAAGCATATGTCATTTGAAACATAAAAACTGTCTATTCAGTGATTACATCTATTTTTGTAATAGTTGACACCAGCAACACACTTGCCTGCGGCTCGTGTGCCACGTTTTGGTTAGCCTGTTCCAGGCTCCAAGATAGTGGGGAGAACGGAACGAAAAAAGGAGAAAACTGCGCGAGGGCTGTAAAGAGAGAGCCGTTTTTTGCTGGCTCGCTTTTCGTTGTTCACGCGCTTTTTACGCTTGTCTACACTTTGAAGTCGCACAAAATGCTGGTGACACTGCCCCTAAAATTCAGCCCAGAGATTCGTTACCAGGGCTGACCATAATTGCACTAATCTCTTCTAAAACTAGCCAAAAGTTTGTTCTTTCCCTGCAATAAATGTGGAAAGCTGTGGCGCTCTCATGCGGAAAGTAAGGAGAGAAAATCTACATGTAAGCGTTTCTCATCATAAATTGACAGCATTATGACGTTATTAATTGTGCACTCATCTTTCCCTAGTTTTCTGTGGCTTAAATTACGAAATAAGTTTGGTAACTTGCCATATCGATTCCAATAGGCCACAGGAAGTTAGAGAATGCAAGGTACAAGCAACTTTATTAATTAACTGCAAAAGAAATATATAATAAATTCACACTACCTCCACTAATAAGCAAAAGTTTTTCGAAGCAGGAGGTGCCTCTGAATGTCCGAAAGTTCGGTCTATATAACATAACATAACATAACATAACATAAAACTTTATTTATACTCGAATTTAAGAGTAGCTAACGAGCTAATATCTTCGAGCCGACTCTACATGAGTACATATAATTTATATATAATTTTATCGTATCACAAGTAACCCCTAAAAAGTTCAGCACACAATATGACTATTATCGGGTAAAAATGCCCATATTTTAAACTAGAAGACTGTATGCAGTAATCTTTATTAAAAATTCATCAATAAAAAATCAGCTGTCTGATTGATTTCAGATATAAAAACTCTTAAATATCACGTCAGTAGTAACCGTCTAATAAAACTTACTTATTCACATGTTCTCTTAGTATTCTTCCTCCTCACTACCATTGTAATAATGGTCCTGATGGTCATTATGGTCATCATCACAATCGTGATCAGACATCGCAAAATAAAAATCATAAGCTTCTTCACACATAGCATCTGTACTATGAGAAGCATAATCACCACCTTCGACATTCTCACAATCTTCAAAACTTTCAAAATCATCATCAAACTGAACACACACCGTTGTATAATTTTTTTCATTAACGCTTGACAGGACTGCACGACCCGAATAACCAAACTCGTTAGCCCTTAAATTTAAATATCTTAATGTGGAGTTGGCTTTAAGAGCCTGAGAAATAGACGCAGCACTAGAATCACCAATTCTGTTCTCGCTCAAATCTAAATAAATTAAGAAGAAGTTGACTGGAAGAGCCTGGAAAAGAGAAACAGCACCATTAACACCAATTCTGTTCCCCCTCAAATCCAAATGTGTTAAGGAGGAGTTCTCTGTAAGAGCCTTGGAAAGAGACTCAGCTCCAGAATCGCAAATTTCGTTCCACTTCAACTCCAAATGTGTTAAGGAGGAGTTCTCTAGAAGCGCATAGGGAAGAGACTCAGCACCAGAATCCCTAACACGGTTAAAATGAAAACCAAATGAATTAAGGAAGAGTTTTTCACGAGAGCTTGGGAGAGAGACGCAACACCAGACTCGCCAATCCCCAACCCATACAACCTGAATTTAGATAAAGAGGAGTTGGCTGCGAGAGCCTGGGAGAGAGAAGCAACATCAGAGTCTTCAATCACACCAACATGGCTGAAATTCAAACGGGTAAAGTTAAGACGCTCCCCTAAGGTGCTAGCCAACCTTGGGTATCCCGATATACAACGCAAAGCAAATAAAAGACGTCCTGACAAGGGATGATCATCATAACGATTATGGCTCATTGAATTAATATCAACAGAAATACTTTTCACGAGAGACTCTGCGATCTCCTCGCTCAATGAAGCTAATATTCCACTCATAAAATAAAACACTTGGTTTAATCTAGCTTTGTAACTTTGATCAGTCACTACTGAGTCACAGTCAATATCTCCCTCAATTATTTGGCAAGCAAGATAGAATCCAGAAAAGAACTCCTGGAAGCTTTTATGGAGAAATGCGTAACGCACACGAGATTTCCTCTTACTGCCAGCCGCCTGGAGTGAAAGAAATCCAAACTTTGATAATGCAATAAGTTTCTCAGCCATTCGCCCAAGATTAAATAAGTCTCTTTCATACACGGTCAACAGGTTATCATTGTTGCTCGATAGTCCGTGCTTTTTCTCATAACGTCTTAAGACACAGTTGACTATTTCAATATATAGTTGGGTTCTGCTTGTTGGAAAAACGCCCTTGAAGTCCTCACAAATAACACACAATAAAGCAGTGTTTAAAGGATTTTTTGCCAATTCATGCAGGTCTGTAGATCTTGCCGAATACAAAGGCGGCCATATCATTTCTATAGTTTTCTCAGCCAAAAGCTCCTTGTTGACGTTTTTAAAGTATTTATGAATAAAGCTTTCTGCATCTTCCTTGTTGAATCCTATAATCTCCCACAGAGTGTCACAGAATCTCCTTACTTTCTTCCCAACTTCATGACGAGATGTAAGAACAATGTAACAACCTGAGAGTTCTTTACCCTCGACAAGGTTAAAGAACTTTTTGAGGTTGCTGGGATCCGCTTCATCCATTCCATCGAGAACTAAAAGAACCTTGGACTGATTTTCACGAATGAATTTAAAGAAGTATTCCTTAGCTTGATCGTCCATTTCTTCGGGGAGAATTTGATCATTAATAGCTTCCCAGATGTCAGATTTAATTTCGTGACATTTGAGAAGCAGGAGCACTTCAATCTCTGGAAAAGATGGGTCCCATTCGTCCTGCTTAGTTGCCCAATCATACGCCAGCTCTTGACAATACGTAGTTTTTCCTATACCAGGATCTCCTTCGATCAAGACTGTTCGTGGCCTTTGGCATTCTGCGTGCGCCTTAAAGATAGCAGTCATATTGGTTATATCGTCAGTAAGTACTCCTCGGGTTTTTTCTTTGCCAACGATTTTTAATCTGGTAAAACTTTCATTGAGATGAAAGCTAAAATCTTCTAACCAAGGAAGAGGCAGGAGGCGTTGTTCTCGTGTTCTGTAGAGCTGACAGATCTTTTATATGACATCGGTTGGGTATGAAAAATCTAAAACAGAGAAAAAAAATAAAACGGAACATAGCTTGGTTTGTTTGGTTTTCAATACGGTAGAAAACGACAGCAACCAAATGTTAAATATTTTCTGACGTACTACAAAACCACTGAAGATTGGGTGGCAAGCGCTCAAATGGCAGGGAAAGGGGGAATGAGCTTGTTAAAAACATAAAGAGCAGAAATTCTCAAATATCGAAGATTTTCCATCCCTACATCCGGTGAACGATATAGAATACTTACACTGTAAATCAAAAAGACCTGTTTTAGCCATAAAATGGGACCGTTTCAGTGAGTGAAATACAGTACTACAGTGGAACCTTCACGTGCGACCACCTCCCAAAAGCGACCTCCTATCCAAAACGTAACAGCGAAACCTTCCCAGTCAAAGCTATATAGTTGGAACCTCTAGTAAACGACCACCTCCCGTAAGCGACCGCGGCCACATTTTGGGCCAGAAAGTTGAATGATTTTCTACTGTTTTTAACCTCTTGTAAGCGACCACTTGACGCATTCTCTGATCTCTATGTTCGCTGTGTGCACTGTGCTACTTAGAATATACGAACAACTTTAGTGACAACATGGAACTGCACATGGTGTAACTTAGAAATTGTATGCAGTAAATTATCTTCCATAAAGTAGATGTTCCCGGACCTCATCTTGGAAGAGGCACCCTGTGGTTCTATTCTTGTATAAGCGACCACCTCCCGTAAGCGACCACCCAAAATGCGAAGACTTAGGGATTCGACCGTATTTTCGGCTCTCACTTAGCTTCCTTAATCAGGGCGAATACAGTCCTACTACCTACGGCTAATTAGCGTCCATAGGCTGATATGAGTCTCAGTGTGGGTTGGAAAAAGCATTTAATTGATGGGGCTGTTTTGGCTTAAATTGTGCTCAAATGGTTGCAAGAGGAACTGAATCCGACATTGGCCTGCAGGTCTAAATTGGCACTTTCGCAGTGAATTCTCGGCTGAACAAACTGAGAAGTTTACAGTTCTTGATCTTATGGAAGAGAGAGATTCACCTGCAGTTTAAGAAGGACAAAATTAGGTTTAATGCTCTTCATTAGATTAAATACCTTTTCAACGTTCTCTGGTACACTCAATTATTCAAATTATATTATCTATTGTTAAGAACTTTATAAGAACAGTCTTTGCCGGTTACCATCATTCAAAATTAAGTCATAAGTCATTGATCATGATAAAGTCCTCAATACCTCCACGGTGTTCAATCAGGCCTTCCGTCTGCTGAGAGGCACTGTTGGTTACGTCTGTCTGGGCATTTGCACTATCACGACCTGTTTAAATACAATGAACGTGAATAGACGTTTGCTTCAATTTGACTACAAGAAATTTATTCCCGTTTGTAAANTAAATTGGCACTTTCGCAGTGAATTCTCGGCTGAACAAACTGAGAAGTTTACAGTTCTTGATCTTATGGAAGAGAGAGATTCACCTGCAGTTTAAGAAGGACAAAATTAGGTTTAATGCTCTTCATTAGATTAAATACCTTTTCAACGTTCTCTGGTACACTCAATTATTCAAATTATATTATCTATTGTTAAGAACTTTATAAGAACAGTCTTTGCCGGTTACCATCATTCAAAATTAAGTCATAAGTCATTGATCATGATAAAGTCCTCAATACCTCCACGGTGTTCAATCAGGCCTTCCGTCTGCTGAGAGGCACTGTTGGTTACGTCTGTCTGGGCATTTGCACTATCACGACCTGTTTAAATACAATGAACGTGAATAGACGTTTGCTTCAATTTGACTACAAGAAATTTATTCCCGTTTGTAAAGGTATGAAATATGAAGGGTGAGTCAGATGGTTATGACAACCTCAACAATTAAGTCCATTTACTATGTCAACATTTGAAAGGTTGCTTGTCTGTTCCACTAATTATTTTTAAAAAAGGTCCTGACGACTTTCTCTTTTCTCTTTCTCTTTCTCGCAGCTGCTACGACAAGAGAGGGATATCAAAGCTCGCAGATGACACTTGATCAGTGGGTGCGGCGATATGCAATTTACCCCAATGTACTGACGTTTTCATACTGGGGATTCCTTTCGTAGTAACTTCAGTCTAGGGTGCGCCACCGGGTGCGCCGGGTCACGCTTTAAGAATTCTTGACGGTTCTGTGGTTTAACTATGCTTTAGCTATCAAATGTATCTCTTTACGCTCGTGCGGATCAGTAGACGACACGGACGAGAATAATTGATTTTCCCTGGAGTGGATTTTAAAACTGAAAAAGTGCCTACATTTGCTCGGCCCCACTAGCATCAGCGCTATAAATACTGCCGAGGGTAAAAAGGACGTTATTATTACGATCACATTTTACGGTTGACCATAAAACTAAGATTTTATAGGTGCTGGAAAGGCTGCACAATTACAAGGGTTTTAAAAATATGAAAAAAATTTCTCGATCCAGCGCCTTTTCCCATTGATAAATAAAGTTTTTCCTCGTTTGAAACCTAAAAATGGGCAGAACCGCCACTGTTTGTTTCAATCTCTGGTAATTGAGGATGGTATCGCATAAAGACACCCGAGCTGCAAAAGATCTACTGTAAATCATACCTTCCTCCTTAGAAGCTTCTTCAGTTTCCAGTTCATTCAGTTTCTCTTTGATGTCATCTTCTACCCTCTTCCACTGCTTGAGAAGTTCACTGGAATGTTCGTTATCGAAGAATTCAATGTCCTGGTCTTTCATTTCATCAATAAGATCTTCATAATCAGCTCCACCCAATCGTACCAGTGTGTCACGGATATGCTGCCGGTAGCTTCTGAATACAGTATCACTCACAGTGCCTTCCGTGGCATGTTTGGACACGGCGTTCATGAAGTACTTAATGCGCGCAATGTCAGACTCGCGACTGGTGTCTGCTGTAAGAGGAGGTGTATCCCAGCCAGCGGGTGGAGGACTCAGATTACCGATTGTCCTTAGAAGCACAGTCAAGAGGGGGATATCAAAGCTTGCAGATGACACTTCAGTGGGTGTGGCAGGGTACAATTTACACCAATGTACTGAAGTCAGGACTCCTTTCTTTCGCAGTAACTTTAGCCTTGAGTGCGCCTGGTCACGTTTTAAGAATTCTCGAAGATTCTCCGGTGGAATAATGCTATCAAATGTGTCTCTTAGCACTCGCGAGCCTATGCTGATCAGCAGACGACATAGACGAGAATAGGGACCTTAAGCACCAAAAACGTGGAATGCCGCCGACGGTGATAGTGAGACGAGAAGTCCTGGGGAAAACGTGAGTTACGTGTCCCACTATTGACGTTAAGCTGAACTACGCAGCTCGGATGGCGTGACCAGTCAAAATGTAAACAAAGGAGGGTTTGTCCATCGTACGTACTACTTTTTTCACTCTTTTTTTCACAATGGCTAGCCGAAAACAGGTTGAGGAGATGTTGCTTTTGTCTTTTATACACGGTTTTATTTCTGAAAAGGAATTTGGAGTTTTACACGAAGCATTGCAGACCAAGAATCCAATTTTTCCGCACAGTGATTACGAAAGGTTTACTTTAGACACTCTCGAGGAAAGTGAAATCTTTGCAGAGTTTAGAGTACGAAAACGGGATATTGAACGGTTAGCTGATGCTCTGGGGCTTCCAGAGTCATTCGTCTGTCACCAGAGGACAAGAGCCGATAAGATTGAAGGACTCTGTATGGTGCTCAAATGTCTGGCGTACCCGTGCAGGTACAGTGATCTAATACACCGGTTTGGGCGAGCTGTGCCACAACTATCTATGATCACAAACGCGGTGGAAGAATTCATTTACCAAAACCCCCACCACAGATTAACACAGTGGAATGCTACTCTTCTAAGCCCGCGGAAACTTCAGCAGTATGCTGATGCAGTGGCAGTGAAAGGTTCTCCATTGAAAAACTGCTTCGGATTCATCGATGGGACCGTAAGACCAATATCAAGACCGGGTGAAAACCAAAAAATAGTGTACAATGGGCACAAGAGGCTCCATGCCCTAAAGTTTCAGTCCGTTACGCTGCCGGATGGGCTAATTGCGCATCTTTTTGGACCTGTTGGTAAGTCAGTTTACATTTCATGAAAGCAATGGAAAAGTGAAAATTAAAACGAAATAGGTCGGTGACCCTCTACATGGGCTTCCGTCCCCCATCCTCACCCCACCAAAAAGGGTATTTTTAGAAATGACTGTCGAGAATACTTTGGTTAAAAAATTAACATAAATTATGTAGAGAATATTTTTATTCTTCATGTGGTGTCTCCAACTAAAACTTTATTAAACAGTGATAATATTATTTTCTGTTATTTAGAGGGAAGAAAGCATGATGCAGCAATGCTAAAAGATTCTCATCTCCTGGATGACCTTAACGCTCATGCATTTAGTGCCACTGGTGAGGCCATGTGTCTCTATGGGGACCCCGCTTATCCCCATCGCATCCAGCTGCAAGGACCCTTCAAAGAACAACGACTGACTCCCGCTATGGAGGACTTCAACAGTGCCATGAGCTCAGTCCGTTCCTCAGTTGAGTGGGTGTTTGGTGATGTTATTGGACCATTTAAACTTTTGGATTTCAAAAAAAATCTCAAAATTGGTCTAAGTCCAGTTGGCAAACATTACATAGTGAGTGCTCTGCTTAGGAATGCCCTGACATGTCTTTATGGCAATAATACAGGGGCATACTTTGGAGTGGAACCACCATCTCTAGAGGAGTACTTCTCCTAAGTATGAAACAGTTGAGTTGTTGAGTTGAGTTAAAGTAACCATAACATGCATTTTTTGCAGTTTATGCAACAACTCTGGCAATGCCTAGAAAGGATATAAACATGTACACGTATATAATCCCATTTTTCAGTTCCTGTATTCATTGTCTCATGCAGACGTCACATATGATCCTGTCAATTATTAATTCCATGATAAGTGGATGGGCTTATTGTGTGCCAAAGAAATTGTAAAAAAAATCATTTTGTGTAAAAATTTTGCAATTATCTTTTTCAAGAGTAGTTTTAATAACATGCTAGCTTTCATTAAACATACTATTGTAAAAATAATTGTGACTTTTTATGAAAAGGTACCTTAATTTTGCAGAATCTCATGCTCTCTGTAAGAATTATTAGATGCTGAAAATAAATTAGCAAATTGCGAGTTAACAATTGAGAAACAACTCAGACTTTCAAAAACATTTTTCTTTTGCCATGTGAACTTTTAACAAAAATTAGTGTTCTGCAATTTAGAACCACAAAAAGATAAAAATGTAGTTATTCTACATCTCAGGTACCTTTTCGCTTTTTACATGGAATAATTTTAACTCTGTATATGTCTGCCATGCTTGACTTCCTGTCTTCATGATAAGTACTTTTTACATAATAATCCCCTATTTTTAAGTCTGTTAAAAAGGGCTGAGTCACTGCACCAGTTTAATCTTATTGTTTCTTTGACATAATGTTGTTGCCATTAATGTGATCTCAAAAACTCCCAAAAAGAAAAGAAAAGTGTCTTTGCAGGAGCATATTACATCTAACTTTGAAAACCTGGTATAGGCTCTGTGTAAGTCTCCTTGCTGTAGCTGTATAATAAAAAATGCAATATATAATTGCAATATTTTAATGTTCTTAATTTTCCAAATCCAAGCATCTTTCAGTTGTTGTTTTTGCTGTGCGCAGGGTTGTTCAAAGCTGCAGGGTTAAGATTATAACCGTAGGGCTTTATTAGAGTGCATATAAAAGCTTAAACACATTCAGTCTATTTTTGTCTACATTTGATGTTTGGATGGTCTAAAAAGATTAGAGAAGAGAATCGATCACTTGTCCAAGAAAAAATGCTTTTAAACATTAATGAAAAAGAAACCGGGATATTAAAATTTAACCCCAGGTTAGTGCTTAATCCTCCTTTGAACAACTATGGGCCTTAGGTCATTTTGTAGAACATTACCGGGGGAAAATGATTAAGGATGTTCTGGCTATGTTCAATGCATTAGTCAAACTGGTTGTTCTTCTCATGAAGGCTAAAAATATACCTTTGCTATATCCAACTATCTATCTATTAGCGGAGCTCCCGCGCGCGAAGCGCGCGCAGCGGAGCACCATGGGTAAGAAAATTTGGTAAACTATCCGTCCCCGAAAATTTGGTTATGACGTAGCGTACGTCCGTCCGTACGGACTTTCCGGGTAGTGGAAAGTAGTCCGCATGGAATCTTGGGGTAGGGGAAAGTAGAGATTTTTTGGCGAGAAATCGCATGGCGCAACGTCGCCCAATTATATCGCGCAACTGGTTTTGAAACAAGAAATTTTAAAGCAACTTAGCAAAAAGATTTTTCGACAGAGCCTTTATAACTTTTTATTACAACTTACGAAAGCTATTATGTCAACAAACAACAGCAGAGAAATTTTAGCGTGTAGACGACAGGTTTTAAGCAGAGAGCCAGAGAAAAGGTGAACGGCAGAGAGCAAGAGTCAACACGCGTAGAGCAAGCGAAGACGATCGCCAATTAGAAGTAGATTAAGAAGACAAAATTTTAGCGAAGAAAGTCGGCAAGTAGAAAGAGTCACGGCGAGAAGAAGGAGAGAAAATTATAGTGAAAAACGCCGGCGGCAAGCAGAACGAGACAGAGCTAGAATGAATAGACAAAGGCAACGCGAAAGAGAAATACAAAGGCAAAGAGAACGGCAGCAAAATAATGACATGATGACAGAAAGTGCTGTGTTAATGTCACTATGGCCCCGCGTTTTTAACACTTTGATTTCAAACTGATCTCGGACGCGAAAATTCAGCTAGTCATTTAAAAGTCAAGCAGGGAAGACAGAGGATTTTCACTTTTCTCACCATAGTCACGCGTTGTGATCACGCTCTACGAAGAACGCCCAATTTTTACGCTCTGATTGGTCAAAATTTGACAGGTGAGTTCATGCAGAAAATTTATACAGCATCTTGAAACTTGTTTACTTTGACAGCTGAAGCTGACCGAGTTTTTTGTCAACTTGTGATGTTTTTTCTGTCTTTTTCCACTGGATGCATAAAATGAAATACAGCTGCTATCGACAGTCTTCTGTTATTCATGGCTGGTTTGTTTATTAAATTGGTTGAGAAATGCGCCGCTTGTCAAAGTTGGAAATACGATTTCGGATGACATTGTTTTCGTTTTTCACCTTGCTGGATGCGGGTTGAAAAGTCCCTCAAGCGATTCTGGCCTTACTTGATAGCTTTCATGAGCTGCATGTCGAATGGTAAGCCTGAGCAATTATTGTATACAGTGTATGTGTTTGTTTTTTTTATACCTAATTTCATGAAGTCGAGCGCAGTTTATAAGGCTAGTTTATACACGTTTGTATTTAAGATCTGAGACAGTGATCTGATCCAGTATGAGGTTTGATATAAGCTTACAGAGCTTTAAAAAGCCTTTAGTCGATATTTTCTCTCCGCAAATAGAAAGAAAAAACGTTCCGAAGAGTATTTAGTTATAATTATGGCTGTAGAAAGAAAGCTTTGAGCGATTTTCTTGCCTCGAGTTCATCTTTGAAAACAGTAAACACCAGGAAGCCGGCTAAAAGCTTTAAGCTTAAGCTTGAAGACTCAGGATTTTTGGAGACGCTTTAATACTTGTCTTCGTGAATGAAAATTGTTGTCCCTGTAAATGTTTCACCGAATTACATTTCTTTTATTGATTGTTAGTAGTCTCTTGCAATTTTAATCGCTTTGTTGTTTGTTTTCAGTCGTTCATAAACATCGCTTGCAGGAGTACTCAAAATGCCGCGCGTATCAAACGCTTTTTTAGATTACACAAAGTTATAAAACCATTAAATAAAAAAAATAAACACAATAAATTCTTTATTATGATGAAGCGCAACTCTTTCAATGTCCCACTGAAAATTTGGCGCTTGTCAAAAGTGAGAACCGGCTGGCCTTATAGGTAATTTAGGAAATTTTTTTGAACGGTTTTGCTAAAAGCCCACGCGTTTTTCGTACGGTTCTGAATATTGAATGAGTGCAATTTGTCTTGAAAAATTGTGAAATACTACATTTTGTCTGAGGTCCGTATGATAAAAACAGAGCCTCATATTACTGTTTCACCTCAGATGTGATGTATATTAAAAAAGTATGAAGTTTACACGCACCCAGAGTTGTTGGCAAGATTTTGTTAAGTAAACTTGTCGAAGGCAAAAAATTCGGCCTAGTCTACTGTGATCAAGAGCCATTATGGCTCTTAAATGTGATCAAAGATGATTGCTATTTTTTGGGTGTATATATGCGGCTATCAATTCGATGTAAGATTTTTTTCAATCTAAAATCACTTAGCCTTAGCTTTCCCTAAAAAGTCACATATGTGCCCTTAAGTCGTAAAATTCCGAAAACAAGCCCTGGGGCTTATATTTTTCAAAGGCCCTTTTTGAAGGGCTTATATTCGGAGAGGCTTATCTACGGAAGGAAATTTGCGTTTCACAATCGATTGGGCTAGCCTTATAGTTAGAAGTAAATTTACCATTTTTGTTTTGTTTTACTTTGTATTTGAGGACAATTTTCCAAGTACAAGCCCCGGGGGCGCTTATATTTAGAGGGGCAATTTGACGGAGGGTTTTTTCGTTACCGGTTTGGGAGGCTTGTATTTGGAGTGGCTTATTTTCGGAATTTTACGGTAACTGATTTGTGGATTACAAGTTTATTGTTTGATTTAAATCATAAATTTATTAATGGGAGCTTCGCTTTTATCCGTGGCTAAATCTATATATTACGAAAATGGTTAGGCCCACTAAGTATTTCTGTTTATTTCTTGCAATACACTTTTTAAAACTAGCTGATCTTTATTTATTAAAAAGCATTATTTTGAAATTCAATCCATCTCTTGGACAATATTAATATGTAACTCGTGTCTGAACAAGGTTTTAAATGTTAATAATATAACTGTGCCACGTTTTTTTTTTCATTTGTATTTGCATGTCTATATTTATAAGAAATTATAAAGCAATCAAAATGTATGTACACACCTCTTTCAATTGTACAATCAAGTGTCCTTGTCAAATGAGATCTCTCAATTTCAACACATTGTCTTAAAATACAGTAATGTAGTAAATGTGTAAAAAAAATTGTAATAAATCCAACTTGTTTTTAAAAATTTTTGTGCTGCTGTTTAATTTTTTTTTGCAGGATGGCCATCAACATTTGAAAATTTTGTTGTTGTTGATTGGCCATAGACTGTTGAATCTGAAGAAACTGTTGTTGTTGTTGCTTAATGGCTTCTTGGTTTAGCTGTACTTGTTGTTGTTGGAACTCTTGTTGTTGTTTTTGTTGCTGTAACAGAATCTTAAAGAGGTCTTCATGCCTCTTTGCTTCATTAGCCATCTGGGTCTGTTTTGATTCTTCTACCTTTGCACGCAGGGCCATTTCCTCCTCTGCCCTCTCCTTCAGGTATACAATCATCTCTGATCCATTTGACCTTCTCCTGATCTGCTTTGCAGGCTTAATATTCCCATCCTCATTTTCTCTCTTTTTGGTTTGGCTTAGGGCCTCCATGGCCTTCAGCCTGATGTCTTTGGCCATAGCCACCTCCCTTTTCTTCTTTTCGTTGTCTTTCTCAATCTCTGCAACATTTGCTTCCATCCTCTCTATTATTTCTTCAAGTATAGTATCCAGCTCTGATTGTTCTGGGCTAATCCCTCCCGTCTTCAGCTCATCTGCATTCTTCTTCTTGTGGTTTTTAATCAGGAGCGCTATATGGTCCTTAGCACCCCTTG